ACACACACATACAAGACGGTTTAGTAGTCACATCAGATTGAAACCATGAGATCACATACCATCCATCTGGACTAGTAGTTCTGCCTTCACTCGCCGACTAGCTTCATGTTCTGAGTCAGATCCACGCTTGGAGCATATGGAATCTATTTCATCTATAAATATTGTGCTTGGTGCATAAAATCGAGCCTGTAAGAGAAAGACACATGGTCTAGAGTTGATTTTGAACATTTTTGTCATAAAATTGACTTAATTGACAGTTATACTTTTATCATGATTTCTTGTTCATCTTAAGCAGATTTCTTTTTACAAAAAGACACAATTCATTGACACATAACATCTTTACAATGAGTGAATTATTTAAGAATGAAATAGTTTCCATCATTTAAAATTTACATATGTTAACAGTATTCAAATGATTTGTAATAAATTAAATTATATCATACTCTTTTAATACAAGATATATTACTAAGGATTTTTTTCCAGTTTTGTAGATTTTCAAGTATCTAGAACACCAGTCCAAATAAATACCGAAGTATTATTGTATACATTAATACATACATACTCTGAAGGGAAACCCAAAGATATTTTACACACATAACACAAGTGTGTTAAAAGAAAATACACATTTTTTCACCTCATTTTTTTTTCCCAAATGAAAAAAGAACAGAGAACATTGTTAACATTAAATGCAACAATAATCAGTATTTCTGTTCCAGCAGTTTTTTTATACACAATCTCATTCTACATAGAGATGAAACAATATCGACCAAAGTGAACTGATTTATAGTTTTCTAGATTAGAAAGGGTTTGGATTTGACAAAATTTTCCATCAGCCACATCACTGACTTTGCTTTCGAAAACCGACACACTAAAGTCATGCCCCTGTTACTTAATAGCATAGAAACAGACAATGAGCAAAACCAAAACATTTTATCCCATCATGTTAATAATTTTATGTCAGACATTGACATTTTTACAGAGAATAAGTTTGCACGTTTTAGCATGCACATGGTTTTAGCATACACATGGCACAAACAAGTTCACCATTAAGTTATACAAATCAAGCATAAAGGACACAAGAAGAAATATAGTAAATTCAATTTACAAAGTATATATTGCAGAAATCTATCAATATTCCATTATGTAGGGTGGAAAATAAAGAAAGGGAATTGAAGCAGCAAAAAGAACAGACTGTGTGGGGTGGTAAGCTGGGTGAAGAAATGGTGTTGTAAAGAAGCCATGATAGGGATGTTCATCTTTTATTCAATAAAACTTTCAGTGTGATGTTAAAATGTAATTTTGATTTATCTTATTTTATATTATTCATCTACTTTTTAGGACTGTATCTGTATATATACACTTCCACTGATCAAGCTGCGAGGCAGAGGATCTGTTTAATTTCTCTATATACCTGGTCTTACTCCCTACAATAACATTATGTTATTCATTGAGTATTTATTTCATGGATTTTCGTATTGATGTTACTTAAAATGTAGGATACACTTGAACATTTGATATACATATTTGTGTATATACAGCGAAATAGGGGAATGATTTGGTTCGGGTTGTTAACATTTCCTCTTCTTTCAACAGCTCAGGGTCATATAAGGACTAAATCTAAGATGATGAAGCTACTTCAAAAAGCACAACACTGGGAAAGAATGAATACTATAGCAGCCTGAAAAATCTTCATACGTTCGGTAGGAACTCAAAGTTTCCTTCGTTAAATTGGTACTTTATTAATCCATGAATGTTATTATTTAATTATATATTTTTAGAACCAACTTTCTGTTGTTCTAGGAATGGTTATAGTAAGCAAATTTTGCTGATTGAAAAACCTGATAACAAGGATTTAAATCTTTAAAGAGTTCCAATAACATTTGGATGTAATATATATTTTAAACCATCAGTTTCAAGTGAAATTTCCAACATTTTTTTCAAATATATTCACATGTTTTTGTCGGATTACCCTTAATTTGAATCCAAACATGTTTGTTTTTGTATTTACCGAATAGTCCTACAATGTCAATAGCCTTTAACTTGAACCATCATGACTTCTTTCACATAACTGCCCAACTCTCACTACAAATTTTCCCACATACCATTTCAAAAAGAAGGCGGACTAATTTTTCACTCTCTCCGTGGTACTTGGAGGAGAGAGTAGCAGATGAGACATTAAAGAAAGTAGTCCTACATTCTGTGGCCACTGCCTTAGCTATCATGGTCTTGCCTGTCCCAGGAGGACCAACCATCAGCACACCCTAGCAACGGAAAAAACAAAACAAACGGCATGCAACTCGTGGCAGGTTTTAACATGTACATTAAGTCTACCAGTGAGTTGCAGTACCCGTACACAGACGGACCCCCCAATTATCTGAACTGCAGTACTGCGGACACAAGCCTTACCATCTCGAAGAGAAGCTTGACTAACTTCTCCGACTCGCCCCTGTATTTTGAGGTAAGGGTGGCAGATGACACATTAAAGAAGGTTGTGCCACACTCTGTCGCAACAGCCTTGGCCAGCATGGTCTTGCCCGTGCCCGGGGGACCAACCATTAACACGCCCTGGGGAGGAAATCAGGCATATTCTGTATACCAGGAAATATTCAACATTTTTAACTTTCAACCTTTGATGCAGAGAGCAAAATTGATTTCTCATGATGGCAAATATTTGTACCACAAAGATACTAAAATTTTATTGTGTTGAAAATAGACCCAGATACATATACATTAAAATTCTGATAGTTCTGAAAGGTATTCGGGGTCTGTCGACTTGCCTGACACTTTTTTTTTTAGATACCAAGATATCAACTAAGTTGAAATATTATTGTGCTAGGGTGGATTTCTGCTGACACTTTCTAAAAATAATTTAAAATGAATTGCCTAAATAAAAAACATTCTTGAAACCAAGTGTAATGAATTATCAAGAAGTACAGAGCTGAAACGACAATTTAGTTTTCGATTACCAAGGTAACGAATGTACATTTTCTATTATCGGTAACCTTTAAGATATCTTGTGAATAGTCAACAATTTTGAATTGGTAATATCATATATTTTACCGAACTTTTAATAAAATTCAGAACTTATCATCAAAGAAAGTTTAATGTATCACCTTTTTTTCATGGAAAAGTTATAAATAATGAAACTCTGAACAGAACTTTTTAATCTAATTAACAAAATTTCATTAACATCATTATTTAATTTTATTGAAAGTCAATATATTTTGATTTCATTTGTGATTAGATGTGTTATCAATAGTGTGCTTGTTACCTTCCACGGCCGACGAATGCCCTTGAAGAAGTCTGGAATGATGAGAGGTAGCACCACAGCCTCCTGTAAAAGTTTCTTGGCTTCCACCAAATCTGCAACCTGGTCCCTGTTTTCAAAATATCAAGGATGTACAATGTACTCTTATCAGTCTGACTGTCATGTAGATAAAAAATGCTGACTTTTTCAAGTAAATACAGCAAAAATGTTTCAAAAAACAGGAAACAACTTCCACAACATGACTATTTTTCAAGTTCCCCTTACTAGTACCTTACACAGATTTCACCAGATTTAAGGTAGCCATTGCACACATTTACAATAAAACCTGTTACATACCTTCCCTGACATACAATAATTTTATTTTTTGAAACTAATTAATAATATTGTACACAGTTATTAAAATTTCAGCGATTTTCTTAAATCGACCTACCTTAAGCTCACTGTTGATCATTTTCTACTGCTGAGGATCAGATCAGGTTTTTGTTTTTAAATTTTGGAAATAATAACAGTGCCATTTCACCCCATACAATGGCCATCGTGGCTCATACAAGTATGTCTACTTGTACTGCAATTATGTGTTAAAATAACCATTTTAACACGGAGAAATATTTTTCTGCGACAATGAGCACAACTGTTTTCAGTGTTCATGAAGACAGTACACCATTGTTTTCAGTATCAGTGAACCACACTATATACTGTTTTTTTTCAATGAACTGTACATTTATAGCATAACCAGATTAAAGTGCATTATAATTAAATAAACATTTCAGTTAAAAGTCTTGAAGGAATGTCTTCAGAGACTGACTGAAGCATGGAGTGCACTCTCCGTTAGCTAGCCATTCAGAGACTGACTGAACCATGGAGANGAGACTGACTGAACCATGGAATGCACTCTCCGTTAGCTAGCCCTTCAGAGACTGACTGAACCATGGAGTGCACTCTCTGTTAGCTAGCCCTTCAGAGACACTGAACCATGGCGTGCACTCTCCGTTAACTAAGTGGGACTGACCATCGTATGTTTGGGTTCTTCTGTACAATGTCTCGCTCCAGTCCCTCAACCAAGTCTTTATCATACCCCTGCCCATCAAACTTCTTCTCTCCATCTTCGGGCTGTCAGACAAAACAAAAACCAGAATAATACAGAAACTGGGTATGGTCAAAAGTATATCTAATTGAAAAATGACAACTCACATTTAAAAAATAAATAAGCTTACTTTATGTTTTTAATATATAAATAGACAGTTTCCCGGTTAAAAAAGGAAATCATTCAATCATTCAATTTACCTTCTTCTTTTCTCTTCCCTTTTCTCCTGGTTTTTCTCTGCCCCTATCCACATTGCCATATCCTGGTGTAGCTCTCCTTCTGTCTCCACCTGGAGCACCCGGCTTACTAGGAGCTGGTTGATTCCGACTTCTCACAGGTTCTGCTTTCCTTGGGCCGGGCCGTACTCCTCCTCGTATGTTTGGGGAAGGTCTGTGAATGATTCACATCATATGACAGATTACAATCTGAATGACATATGGTTTTTAAGCAAACAGGAATGAATTAGCGAAAGTTATGCTAACTTTGTTTTATTTTTGCTCAATATTTCAAAGAATTTCAAATGATTCCAAAGATTTATTCATATATCATTTGTATTAAAAGCTATTTCTCTGACATTAAGAAAGTGATAAAAAAGAAATTTGAAAAAATAACATCCCCAAATTGAAAATGTTTTTTTCAATAAGCATGGTTTTCTAAGAGGTTTTACTTTTAAAACCATTTGTCCATTACCATACCTGTGTTCTACAGGTGTTGGTGGGGGCCATACATCTGGGTCCCGAGTAGGTTCTTCGTGTCGAGAGTAGTCACCAAAAGGACTGCTATAATCTTGGTCAGCATTTGCATTGACAGCTCTTGGGTTATTAGACCGGAAACTGGCCAGGGTCTCATTGATTTCTTTGACTTGTTCATACTCCTGGTTTATCTGGTCTCTAGCCTGAAAGTCACAATCATATTTTATAATCTTTCAAAAATACATTATATAATTTAAAAATGGTCGCAAATATTCAGAAACACCCTAGAGCATCACTCATAATATTATTTAACAACAAAAAGAATTGAAACAAGATGATTGGTACAGTACACATATTGAGAATTTGTTCAGGGCCTTGAGAGTATATTTGTTGACTCCCCAAATTAAGCTTTTCACTCTTTGGTTTGAAAGGGCAGTGGCTATTTCAGTATTTGATATGTGTTTTGACCTTCTAAAGTTTAGGGAAAATGCTGTTAGGTTTCTGAAAATACTGAACGTTGGGGCTTTTATTGTCTTAACTTCCTATTAATAGCTATGATCATCATTTCAGACGTGCCAGCTAGGTCTTGGTGGTGGATGTTAGCCAGAGTATCCAGAGAAAAAACACCCACCTGCGGCCAGTACCTGGTGACTGCCCCAAGTAGGTCTAAAGGGGAGCAAGTGATGAGGGTCAAGTGAAGGTCTGCATATATCATGAAACAAATTGGCTCTAATATTGAATCAATATTAAAGGAAAGATATATAGTTCGTCTTGATCAAATTATCTCAAATTAAATTAACTATCACTGGTCATCAACCTGAACCAGTGATTTGCTTTCATTAAGATTGGAGTAATACAAACAGTGCTGTCAATAGCAGAAGGCACCCATGATTTACCAAACTACTTGTACTCTATTTCATACCAAGATTTAACACTGACCTCCATCCACTTTCTCTTTCTGGTTGGATCCTTGATGGAGGATATGAGTCGTTGTATCTGTTGCTGGAGGCCTTGATAGTAAACCAGGGATGTGTCGTAGTTCCCCAGCAGGGCGTTCTCACGCCCCATCTTTATACACTCATTCACTTCTGATAGACTGACACTCATCCTGTAATAGTGGATTAAGTATGTTACATAAAGAGGGGAAGAGCATAAAGTTTGATCGCTCAGACGAATAGCTTGTGGCGCAGCTTTCGTCACAATATTCATTATTATTTTCATTCAGGGTACACTTTATTAGGTACATCACAGAAACTGTCTTCATTTGTGGGCACAGTAATCAATGAAAAAGTAAAGTGATTGAATACATGTTGTGTTGGTTCTTTCTCAGGTACTAAACCTCGTCTGTCATAACACCATATAATATATAGATATAAATTATAGGGGTAATGACAGACGAGGCTAGTACCTGTGGTTCTTCCTCCACAAAAGGGATTTTTACAGCACTAAGCAACTAATGAATTCATTATTATACCTGTATGTCTACATTTCCCATAGATTCAAGTTACAAATTAAGTATGACAATTTTAGCAATTATTAATCCAAAGCTGTTCTAAATTTACACATGACATAAGATTGTGTTTATCGAATTTTGAATGTGAACACATACTAATTTTATCTATTTCATCGTTACTGTAAGATGTCAGCTGTTGACATGGAAAAAATCAAAATTCATAGAAAGTTTGAGGAAGACTAAATGGTAAGCAGTTACACTTACAGTAGAGAACCGAAAATCTGGTAGAAAATATAACTTTAACATCAATAATTGCCCCCCCCTCCCCCCTTTCCCCAACTTTTCGGATGACATTTTGCGGTTCCGTCGACATAGTGTTTATTTAGTAAGTTTAAAAACACATTAACTATATGACACATAATAAACTACTAACTAAAGACTCATTACAATATCAATTGCTCAACTTTATGACGATTAATTACTCACTTGATTTGATCATGGAACCTTTTCCAAATATTTGCAGCATAGTCCAGTGTGCGTTTTGATTGGACGTTATTTATTATTCAAGGGCAGCGACTCTTCTCACTTTATTTCAGTATTGACTCGTGAGTAGAACACGCACCTGTCGAGTTTTACACAAGGGGAGCCTGAGAGGAGCTATGTGAAGACATACAAGTAGTATTTCTCATGTTGAAATTAAATAAAAAATATTAAAAAATGAATTATTCTAAATAAAAAGTCCGAAAGCCAATTATTCGAAATTAGCTCTATATCTAACTTATTTCATTTTTTATAGAACATTTTGGTAACATCATTTTTCGTCCCTTTTCTAAATAATTAAAATAGAGCCCAATAGATTAATGTATTATGAGAGACGTATCATATGGCATGACATTGTGCATTCCTTATCTTAAAACAGAGAAGACCCTTATATATATCTATTATGTATGGGGCAAAGAAGTAATTCCAACATTTTCGGAGCGTTCCGCTCCTTTATCAAGACACAGTGAAACAGAACAGTTACATTTACATGTACATATACATCATATTACAAGAAGATAGAACTGATATACTATGATTGAAAATATAGCTATTATATAAAACCAATAGTCCCCTCGGCCAGAGACGTTTATAACACAGATATGACGGCAGAAGTGTTTTTTCTGCTGCACAACTTTGCATGTATCTGTTTTGGAGGTATCGGTAAAACACTGTCCTTTAATGTAGGAGCCTATTTCATATTTAGTCTCAATTTTCATTTTTTTTTCATTGACAAGTAGCCACTAGTAAGGAGTGCATAACATTCAACAATGAACCACTTGTCCAATTCTTGTCGGATGATGTTGAAATGTTACACCAGCATTGTTCTTTAAATGCCTTTGCATTGAATCAAGCTTAAAGCGTTAGACTATTGTATGCCTGTTAGTGCGGGAGCTGTGAGGTAACATAATTGTTTGAATGAATCACGAACCAATAATTACATTCATTAGAATTTAATTTATGACGATATCATCTTAAAATGCAAAGATATCATTTCATTCACGAATAATTTTAACTGATTATCCCTGTAAATACACGTGTGCTTCTTTTNTAATTAAAATAGAGCCCAATAGATTAATGTATTATGAGAGACGTATGGCATGACATTGTGCATTCCTTATCTTAAAACAAAGAAGACCCCTTATATATATTATGTATGGGTCAAAGAAGTAATTCCAACAGTGTGGACAAGTTTAGGTTGTCAAATTTTCGGAGCGTTCCGCTCCTTTATCAAGTCACAGTGAAACAGAACAGTTACATGTACATATACATCATATTACAAGAAGATATAACTGATATACTATAATTGAAAATATAGCTATTATATAAAACCAATAGTCCCCTCGGCTAAAGACATGTGCATGTGGGAATATATATATATATATATATATATAAACGTCTCTGGTAACATGACATGGATCAGACCACATTCGTCACAATATTAACTGAAAATCTGGAAGCTAAATTGGATTCATAGCAAAATATTTTCATTAATAGTAATATTAACATTATTTCCCATTTTTTAACTATTATTGAAGGTAGCATATCCTTCCTTTACATAACGTTATATTTCCTGGTTTTAAAGACACTTAATAGCAAAATTAGGTGAAATAAAATTCAATGGCCAATATAGGAGTAGGCTTCTACCGAATTTTCCCTTTCGGGCATTGTCAGTCCCCTGCAGTGGGATGGGCCCATGAGTCAATTTTCTTAATACAATTGTTTGATTTGGATTGGTTTAATTTTATGCAACGTCCTACTAACAGCTAAGGTCATTAATTGATTTTTTTTTTCGCATGCTTAGTAATTTGTTTAAGGATGGAGATCTCAAAACTCTTTTTCGTTGTACAAAACTGGAAATATTAGTCACCATGGACCGGGTTGGTCCAAGAGACCATTACATTTCCTGGTTGAATGCCTGTGTTTGTATCTTCATGTCTAACAATTACTGATTTGGCTTTGATATATGGTGGTAATCTCTGCTGACCGGGTCTATCCCGGTAGCACAAGTGTATTAGTACACAAGACTGACCGCTACGTCACTCTGTCTTCTTAGGCGCATGTAGGCGGACTGACATATAATGATGAACTCCCTCATTTGTTTCGTTTGCGGGAAACTGCAGCACAGTGAAAATAACAAGAGAATATCGAAGTGTCAAAGAAGCCGTAATTCGAACTCGAAATTTCCAGAACTAGTGAAATATGAACAAATGAAAGATTCATATGTAGACCCTTGAAAAGTACAATACATAATATTTCGGAAGAACAATCCAGCAGGCACAGTGACGTTGAATAAACGTTGAATAAACGTTGAGGTTCAACGTTGTTTCAACGTACAAAATATATTTGATTTTGAAAGTTGAAACAATATACCAAAATTCACCGTCAGATTTTCAACGTTGAATAAACGTTGCATTTATGTTGAATTATATACCCTTGTTCAATGTAAGACTTTCCCTCTATTAAGCAGGCGGCATGAAATAAATGAAAGAAAAACATCAACAAACTATTCTCAAGTATATAAACGTTTTATTTTGGTATCATCAATCATAGACATGAATGGTAGTCAGCTGGTCCCTGTTATTCTGCGACAGGTTCTGGAAAACAGGATTTAGTGCAAACCATTAATAACATTGTTAAATGCAGAGGTTTACTACCTACAGAATGTACAAGTATGCATTAACTGTTAATACATAACTATTTGAAACATTGTTGGTCATGGAGTTATTTTAATATAAAAGGAAGTGGAATAATTCAATGCTTTAATATTACACATATCAGCAAAAACCTTACCAGATTTGACACGGTGTATGCTTTATAGTTACTCCTGCAGTGTATATACCTACCTATAAATTAACCAAATTAGTTTGGCGTCCACCACCGCCATGCTTTTCTGGAGCATGCTTCATATACGAGCCATACCTTTCTGACAGGAATCGTGTGTCGCTTTCTGGTGAGATTCTGTGACCGCTTCTGGAATACAGAATATAGTGCAGATTGTTAATTATATTATTAAATACAAACGTTGCCTAGCATGTACGGCATCATGCATTAATTATTAATATTAAACTTTTTGAAAAAAAAACGTACAAGATTTGATATGATGTATGATTCACAGCTATTCATGAAGAGTGTGTTATACATACCTATTATGATTTTGCAAAGAGAAGGTTGCCCAAACGCAAACATGTTTTTCCCCCCTTACAGGTTCATTTTGGCCATGGGACCATTCTACAGACAGCTGTTAATAAACAACAGTAACAAAATGAGAAACATTTTTATATAGAAAAGGAGCTCTTTTTATTGAAGTTACTTCTCAATAGTTCTCAACGTTACGTAGACAATGAAACTTGAAATGACTTTATTTAGCTATGCAAGTGTACAGTCTTAATATAAATGAAGACAACGTCTAGTGTCTATAATTTATGCTCACCTTTGCATGGCCTTTTTTACCATGGAAGTTCCGTCAACTCCACCTATTCTGGTGACAGAGGTCTTTTGCAAAAAAAATATACCATAGCCATATTAAATGAACTAGAAAATATTTCATTTTTTCAAATTATCAAGAGAATAAAATTGCTTCAAATTACGCTTTTGCAGATTTGTTTTTTTCTCAGTTTTTTGTTGGTTAAGCTTGCAATATATTTGTAACAGTAGTCTAAAATATTGTTACCGACTGTATATAATTATGTTATCTTACCATTGCCTTCTTTTTCTCATTATCTGTCATATTTTCCTCCAGCCCTTGAAGGTCTTCTAAAGACTGGATCTGGTCAAAGGCAAAATTACGGTCCACGTCTGCCGTCAGCGTTGAACGCTTATGGGAGATCCCTGATTTCTGAGAGAAGCGTCAACAACAATTTGCGTTGGAATCCTTAAAATGATATTTTATCAACAGTTTATTGAACCATTGAATTCAGCATGAATATTTTAATCTTTGGTAGGTTGTCTTTTAAACAAAGTTGTAAATAAATTCAATCTATAACCATTACAGCCTCCTGTATGAATTGAATAAATTATAAAACAAGGATGTATATGAAAGCAAAATATGCCTATTGATAAAGAAAAACATAAACAATAAAAAGGTTTAACAATAATTTTGCTTTAGACCAACAAAAACTGTGTCGTCTGCTCCATCGACGACACCCTACGTGGCAATTTAAACCAAATCCGAGCGAAAACCGGGGTAGATGACATATATTTCCAAAGTTTATCACATATATTTGTAGTTAGTTGTTGGCCATGTTGTAAATAAAGATGGAGGAAAGCGGCAGATGCAGAAGAGTATTTTGTGTCTCTAAAGTACCCCGCCAATGCGACAACGCGACATAATTTTTATGTCGCACTGACGCGTAATTTTGTCGCATTGGCGCACTGTCGCATTGACGCCCCCATAGCTAATATTGAAATAAACCAATATTGTGAATAGGATGGTCGGCCAACATAAACTACATTGTCTTGCTTCAAAAACGCCTGTACAATATTGCATTTGTGTGCTGAAGCATTATCGTGAATAACATGGATGCTTGTTCATGTAGAATCTTTTGACTGACTTAAGTTCTTGTCTCTGTAAAACTTGGCAGTGATAAATTTTCCCTTCCTTGCACGGCATCTGAACATCAGACCTATTAGAATAGAACTAATGCATACAGTGCTTTCTTTGCACTTTTTATACGTCTTGCAATCACTGACCTTTCTTGATTTCTCGACAACCATTGCTTATTGTAAGTAATTTCAGATAGCTTTCTCGAGTCGCAAATACCGTACTCTTTCAACATATTTGAGCACATTCAAAACGTTAAGCCATTTGTCCAGATGTCAGCAAATGTGGGATCCATCGGGCACGATGCTTCTTTAATTTTAGGCATTGGTCAGAATGTGATGTGTACTGCTTTCTGAAATGCCAACCGTATGAGCTATTTATAACGACCATCGTTCTTAACTAATACTATCACAGCAGCAATGGTCTTCTTTGATGCTGCAACAATTACTAGCCTGTCTGGTCGTGTGTG